AAATTAAAATCAAAATCCAGAGCACAAAAATCTAAAACTAAGATTGAATGAAAACCAAATTTGTTTAAATCTCTTCTGCACAACAAACAATTAATCAATTGATTGTTATACGATTAAGAACAATGCATAATTCAATCGAACAATGCTTCTATACAATCGTAAAAATGTGAGATCGGAAAACAAACTCGGAGCATCAAAAACGTCTTGAATAAATGCGATATGGACTTTGGCAATGAAATTGAAGGGGAAACATAGCAGAAATCATCTTGACTTTGTAGAATCTTAAACATCATTCAATTGTAATTGCAAAGGCATATGAATTCAGAATGGAAAAATGCAAGAAAAGAAGAAGAATGGTAAAAAAAAAATGAGAGGTTCTATTGGAAGCGGGAAAGGTATTGCAAACTGAAAAATGAAAAAATGAATCAAAATTCCTTCCCAATCAGCCCCTGACCTCTATAAATACTAATCCTAAAAGAGCAAAAACTGAGTGGGCCAAAGTTGGGCCGAAATTAAATACAAAAGAACTGCAAAACAAAAGCAAAATAAAAACTATACAATAGTCAACTAAAAGTCTAAACTTCTAAAATTCGTAGAAAATAGCTCCGAACTCCAAACAGCATGATCCAAATATCCAAATTAAAGCGCCGAAAGTAAGGAATCCAATGCAAAAAGAATCAGCCAAAAAGGATATCTACAGAAAAAGTTATGGTCAAATTAGTAACCAAAGGTCAGAATAGAAAATATGAACAAAAGTATAGTATTTACGAAAATTCCTAATTATCAAGATAAATGCAAAAACATATTAAATGGAAGAAATAAGGGAATGAAAAGACAAGCAAAGGATGCAATAAGACTAAAAATGTGTGAACAAAATATGAGCTATCAGTCTCTGAGGTTGAGGGCATCAGAAAACTGTGATTACAGTGCCACAGTGAGCACGGCTAATGTGCAGTGAGCGTACGTGTGTGTGAAATGATTGAAGGTGCAATGAGTGCACCTGTGTGTGAAATTGGAATGAAATGTTTTGAAAGTGACCTGGCACTTGTTTGATGTATGATTCAATTAATGTTTGAATTTTATTGAGATCTATGCTTGTGTGTGTGATAGTGTAGAGTACTCACCCTTATATTTATTTTACATGTGACCAAGATGATTAGCACCAGGCTCTGTGAAAGGATAGATGAAACTGCTATAGGACTTACAAAGTTTATTTTTGGAAATGATGTATTTAAATTAGTCCTATAGCAATGATTTGATTCAAAATTTGTGATCTATCCTTATTTTGAAATACTTTATTGAACTATGTATTGGGAACCCTTTTTAAATGAAAATTTTATTATTCCCATTGCATTGTGAAATGGATTTATTTAGAAATTAAATTAAGGTATTACAGGTGACATGTATCATAAATACATTTATTAGTGTTATTATAATATATGTGTTATAATGATGAATCTATATTTTAGCAAAATTCTAACACATTTGATAAGAAAAATACATAAAGAAAGCAGAAATACTCAGAAAAAGAGAAGGAATTGAAGTTTTGTTTAAATTTGTAGTTATTTTAGCAATTGTGAAATTTTTGCGTAGGAATTAAGTTTTTAATCTTGTTTTTGAAGGAATAAATTGAGCAAGGATCATATCCATGGAGGTTTGATGACAAGGAAGAGGAAAGAAGCAAGTCTGGACTCCAAAAACACAAGAATAAGAAATTGCAGACTGGGCGTGATCACTATTGTCAGTGAAAGTGATCACTTCAGAGCTCAAAGAAGAAGTGAAGCCTGGGCGTTACCACTTTTATCATTAAAAGTGATAGTTCTAGAGAGGCAAAATATCAGGAAAGCTCTACGTAACCACTATTATCATCAAAAGTGATCGTTCCAGAGAGTCTTCAACTTGGCGAGTTGCGCATAGTCACTTTTATCAGCAATAGTGATAACGCGCAACTACCTTGACTCTGCGTTGTCACTTTTATCATCAAGAGTGATAGTTCCAGAGAGCTCTCAATATCAGGAAGTTGCACGTGGCCATTATTTCTAGGAAAAGTGTTAACGCGCAACCAAAAACTCTCTGCATAACTACTATTTCTCATAAAAGTAATAACGTGAAAATCTGGAAAATTCTATAAATACTAGAAACGATCCGGAAAAAGGGGATTCGGTTCATTTTCAGTTTTTTTAGTTAGATTCTTGTTAGAGGAAGTGAGAGAGAGGAGTGGAGATTCGAATCTCGGAGCTTCACGAAGAGGAATTGGAGTGGAGCAAGCTTCCATGGCGATTCTGATTTTCTTCTTCTCTTCTTCTCTTTCTTTTCTTTTCTTTGCTGCCATCGCTGTGTAATTTGTTCATAGTTAGGGATTGTAGATCTGAAACGAATGTGTTGAATTGATTTTGGATCTGGATTTCAAGCTTCGGAATAGATTGAGTGATTTATTCTGCACTTTATGTAGGAATTGAATGGAAATTTGATTAACTAATTTCAGAGGAACTCTTGTCAATGGAAATTGAATTTGTTCTTCAGATCTGAACCAATCACCAAGATTATAGTTTTCTTAGGGATAAGGAACTTTGATCTTGCAATCTTTTGGTTTCTTATACTTAAAGCAATGTTGAATTAAATCATATCTAAGGAATTAGAATGTTTTAATTCAATGTTAGGTTCACCGAGTTAAGGAATTAACCTCTGAACAATAGAACGTGAAACTGATTGTCTTTCTTTCCAAATGCTTGTTAATTCAGAACTTTATTGATTAAACATTGGAGTTTTTGTGAAGCAATTCCCTAGCTATGGTTTCTTTCTCTGTTATCACATAATTGTTTGTTCGTTGTTCTGTTTTTTGCAAGTTCATTTTACTTTTAATTGTTCTAGTTTGCTGTTATTACATGTTACTACTCTCCTTCCAATTTTGAAAAAGCTTAAATGGTTATAATTCTATAAAGTGGTATTTGAAACCTAAATTCCCTGTAGAGATGATATTTGGATCTTAAATTTACTCATTACTTGCTGCAATCCTAGTGCACTTGCTAGCGTTAGATTGCGAACAACATGTAATATATCAACGAGTGCGATTATAATAACTATGTTGTGACATATTGATTGGTGTAATTATAATATATATATATATATATATATATGTATGTATTATGACAATATTGATTGATATGAACAGTATGATCTTAGTGTATGCCACTATTTAGTTTTCATATGGATAGTTCAAAGATACACTACGGGTACAAATTTCAGAGTTGATTGTGAAAATTTGAAGAAAATGAGGGTAGTGAATATTGTTCGCTAATGTGTACACGATTGAAAGTGAAAACATTCACAAGCCTCACATTCATTTCTTGACTATACCTTTGCTATGAAGGTCGTATAACGCACACGTTATATCCATGTGTAGTGGCTAACCAATGACTATCCATGCTGGCATAAGTCCTTCGTAACTAGGAATAGTATATTGGCAGCAACTTAGGAGCTCATGAGTACCAATAAATGATGGATCAATTAAAATTGAAATGATCAAAGTAGCATAAATTCAAGAATTGTATAACTGCATTGAGTTAATTGTGAATTGACATGTCTTAGTGGCTTTTGGGGTGAAATGTTCTATGGATGAGTTGTTACTGTTTTAATGCATGCATATGTTAAATTAACGTTTTCTATATTATTTGATCATCCTATAAACTAAGAATTTACTATTATACTCGTAGTTGAATTGTATGGAAAAAAATTACTCTATTAAAATTTAATTTATTTTGAAAGTTGTAATGATATTGATTAAGTTTTTATTTAAAGTCAATAATGATATGTAAATATTTTAAATGTTAATTTTAGAATTTATACTATTTTAATAAATCCGATTACAAAAAACAATTTAACGTGTATGTGTAATATTTACTAATTAATTATTAAATTTTAATTTACACCTAACTTTAGTTAAAAATTTAATTTACTCAAAGATAATTTTTTTAATATTATAAATTTGTGTATATATATATATATATATATATATATATATATATAAAACATAACATAAAGTGAGCTAATTATTTTAAAAATTAATTTTAATATTTACTTGATTAAAAACATATAATGCTAAAATCAATTTTTATTGCTATTACAGTGATATATATATATATATATATATATATATAAATTTTATTAATTCTTATTAGTTTTGTATATACACAAATGTAAACATTTTTTAAATTATTCATATCTTTTTACTACTTCAGTTAAATTTTATGTTTAACAAAAAAAAAAAAATTTAGAAAGATATTACAATTTGTCATGTAATCATATTCTTAGTTAGGTTAGATTGTAAAGAAGGATTATTCCACTAAAATTTAAATTACTCTGAGAAATTATAATAATTTTGATTAAATTTTTATTTAAAGTTGATAATAAATAATAAATTTAAAGTGTATTTATAATATTTAGGAAGTAATTATTTTATTTATAATATATATTGACTCTAATTAAAATTTTAAGTTACAAAAATCAATGGGACGTATATGTAAATTTTAACTTATATTATTCTAAATGTAAATTTTTCTAAAATTATTTATATTTTTTATTTATTTTAATTAAGTTATATTAAAAAATTATATATAAAACATAAGAAATAATTAAAAGAGAAAGAGTCACATCTTAGAAGATTTTGAAACACGATTTTACAAGTTTTGTAATTTTAAGCCACAAAACTTTTTCTTTTAAAGAAAAGTTTGACCAGCAGTGATGATAAAACTTATGACACGTGTAACGAATAAGCTCCTGACAAAAAATTATTTTAAATATTATATTTTAATATTTTATTTTTTAAAAACATTAAAAAAAAGCCATCATACATCATGCTCTCATTGACGATCAAGAGAGCAATACCTTTTATTAATTTAATTTAAAATAAAATGTCACGTGTATACGTTATTATTTAATTTAAAGATTAAATATTATAATTTAGTTTAAATAGCTGGTCGCTTTCCAGTTGTGTGAATAATTTGAGCAATAGAAGAGTGATGGCAGAAATGCTAATCGACATATATTCTAAATCTTAGATTGGCACCTGGCATGTCACCTTTGAACAAGAAAAGCATAGCAAGCAAAATAAGCAGTATCCGTTATCTTAGACAGCTTCATGCACAACTCGTCCTTCATGGCCTGCACCACCAAAACCACTGGGTGGCGCATCTCCTTACCCAATGCACGCGCCTCCGTGCACCCTCAAACTACACCTGCCATATTTTTCATGTGGCAGCATCCCCGAATGCACACGTCTTCACCTGCATGCTCAAATATTGCTCCCACATTGGTGCTGACCCAGTAGTAGTTCCCCTCTTTAAACACATGCAATACTATGCCATAAAGCCCGACACATCGTTCTACCCAGTTTTGATAAAATCTGCTGGAAAGACCAGCATGCTGCTTCATGCTCATGTACTGAAACTTGGACATAGTCATGACCATTATGTTCGAAATGCAATTATGGGTATGTATGCCACGTATGGACCTATCGAGCTTGCCAGGAAACAGTTTGATGAAATGCCTGATAGAACCGTTGCAGATTGGAATGTCATGATCTCTGGATACTGGAAGAGCGGGAATGAAGAGGAAGCAAACAGGCTTTTTCATATGATGGATGAGCCAGAAAGGAACGTTATTACTTGGACCACCATGGTTACTGGGCATGCAAAATTTAGGAAGTTGAAGTCTGCAAGGATGTATTTTGATAAGATGCCAGAAAAAAGTGTGGTATCTTGGAATGCAATGCTATCAGGATATGCCCAAAATGCAGCAGCACTAGAGACTGTAAGATTGTTCAATGACATGCTTAACTCTGGAAATGAACCAGATGAAACAACCTGGGTAACTGTTCTATCATCTTGTTCATCTCTCGGTGATCCTTGTCTTGCTGAGCCAATTGTCAGAAAGCTAGACAAAATGAATTTCCGTTCAAATTATTTTGTCAAGACAACTCTGCTTGATATGCATGCAAAATGCGGGAACCTTGAGGCAGCTCAGAAGATTTTCGAACAATTGGGTGTGTATAAGAATTTTGTTGCATGGAATGCCATGATCTCTGCTTATGCAAGAGTAGGTAATTTATTATCGGCCAGAGACCTTTTTAACAAGATGCCAGAAAGGAATACTGTCTCTTGGAACTCGATGATTGCTGGTTATGCTCAAAATGGCGAGTTACTAATGGCGATCAAGCTGTTCAAGGAAATGATCTCTAGTAATGATTCAAAACCAGATGAGATGACTATGGTAAGTGTTTTTTCTGCTTGTGGACACCTTGGGGCGCTAGGTTTGGGCAATTGGGCTGTCAGCATCCTCAATGAAAATCACATCAAGCTTAGCACCTCAGGATACAATTCTTTGATTTTCATGTACTTAAGATGTGGGAGCATGGAAGATGCCAGATTAATATTTCAAGAAATGACAACCAGAGACTTGGTTTCCTACAACACATTGATTTCAGGGCTTGCAGCCCATGGGCATGGAATGGAAAGCATAGAGCTAATGTCGAAAATGAAAGAAGATGGTATTGAACCAGACCGCATAACATATATCGGTGTATTGACTGCATGCAGTCATGCTGGATTATTGGAAGAAGGTCGGAAAGTTTTTGAATTGATCAAAGTTCCTGATGTAGACCACTATGCATGTATGATTGATATGCTAGGTCGAGTTGGTAAATTAGAAGAAGCTATGAAATTAATTCAAAGCATGCCAATGGAACCCCATGCAGGAATTTATGGATCTCTTTTAAATGCTACCAGGATTCATAAACGAGTTGAACTAGGCGAGCTAGCTGCAGATAAGCTGTTCAAGGTTGAGCCACATAATTCTGGCAATTACGTGTTGCTTTCTAACATATATGCTTTGGCTGGTAGGTGGAAAGATGTTGACAAAGTTAGGGATAAAATGAGAGAACAGGGAGTGAATAAAACAACTGCCAGGAGCTGGGTAGAGCACACCTCATAAGATCATTGTCGAAAGCAGATCACATGAACGATCAGATGTTATCTATAATCTACTGGCAAATCTCAAGTTTAAGTTGAGGAGGTATATGTAATTGACAAAAGTTGTGTGCTGATGGATGTCGAATAAGGAGAAAAGGTGGAGATAGTGGGTGTTCGTAGCGAGAAGTTGGCTCTCCGTTCTGCTTTTCTAGTCGCTGATATGATGTCATGATAAGATTGTGGAAAATTTCAAGGATGTGTAGTGATTTGATTACCATACAAGCATCATGGTGAAATCCAAGTTCAATGAAAAAAAAAATTGTCAGGGATAATACAATTGGAGCATTCATGTCTCCATAATCATATATTACTTCAAATCTTGCTATAAAGGACTGTGTACTGATTACCATACAATTAGGATCTATTCTCTCAATTCAAATCTAATGTTTGTAAATAAATACTTGAATAAAATGCACGCAGTTCCTTTCACTTTGGTTCCTAGACAAAATTAGAAGTAACAAAATAACATTATTTTTAACACACCAAAATAAGTCAAAAACAAATGAACCCGTTTGGCCTTTTTTTAAAAGAAAAAATTAAAAATAATTAAAATATAATTTACTATTAATATAAATTTATTAATTTAATATTTTTATAGCTTTTTATTATTTCTTTTTTATTTTTAAAATCTTAAGCAAGTCAGCTTGTCCACTTTTTCTTTTTTAAAATCTATTATTTTTGGATTGGATTGTCTCCAATTTGCTAGGAAATTGGAAGTCTAATTCTTTTTTTATTTAAGCAAAAATAAGTTCATTTTAAGTGATTTTTTTAATTTTTACTTAAACGCGCATAAGACTAGCTTAAACAAGCTTAAGCAAAACTTGTGAACTTAAGTAAATATGGGATCGTTTAAATGAATATTTTAGAATTTAAAAAAAATTAAAGAGATTGGTTATCTAACCAAAATATAAGTAAATGCAACCAAATTTAAAAGATAATGAGATTTTATATAAATAAAAATTCTAAACATGAAATTTTTTATATTAGATGTCTATGAAACAAAAAATATTGTGAAATTAAAATAAAATAAGAAATATATAAAACTAAACAATCATTCCTCAAGTATGCATGATCCTCTTCCACTTGATCTCCTTGCTCCATAGCATGCTACTCTTAATGACCTTTTATCTCTTCATCTTCATCCTCTTCTTGAGGTGTTCTATAACTCCTTCATCAGCTCTTTGTTATCCATGTCCTTGTTCATGTCTAAAAGACACTTCATATTGGTTGGGGTGATTTGGGAATAGAGGGATGCCTCTAGGCCATGAAACATGTGTTGCAAACTCTTTAGGCGTAGGCCAGGAGAATGTTGAAGTGTCTCCTTAGTATTGATATATGGTAAAGGGGTAGAATGACTCATTGAAGAATGCTACGATTGATAGTTTATCACTAGCTAGTGGTGGATGTGTGTATAAGCTTGGCGATAGGCCTCTATCTACTGTTGTATTTGAGTAAGATGTTGTGTGAAGCAACACTTCATAAGTGTCACGTTAAGGAGATAGAAGGTTAGTAAATGGCTTAAGCGAGTGAGGAAGTGTGTTTAAGCCATTCAATGTGCTTAAGCAATATAGATTCACTTAAGTGCCTTACACTCGTTCAATTGCTTAATATTCGCTTAAGTGCCCCAAATCATACTTAAGCAATTAAGACTCACTTAAGGGAACTTGTTTCGCTTAAGCGAAAATGTTGTAATTTTGGAGCATAAACAATGTAGGGTTGACATATACTCCATGAAAAGCTAAATGAAACTCATTTCTTTAAAAAGAAAATAACTCAGAGGTAGGGGGAACAAAACTTCATCTTCACGTACAATATTGGTGGGCATTTTTTATATTTTCAGCAAACACTATCTTGTGCTTCTCCACTACCGATAACAACTTAATGATGTTAGGTTGGTTTTCCCATTGAAAACTAATCCTTTCATATTTTATGAACTGGATTGAAGGAAAGTTATGTTAATCTCAGCAAATATTTCTTTTCATTTTTGTTAGAAAAAATGACAACAAATAGTATCAAATAGAAGCCAAGAGTTAGTTTAGAGTTTAAAAGTGTAGATGAAGAATGAGAATTTTGGAGGAAATATGGTAGGAGGATAAGTTTTGGCATTAGAAAACTATACTTTAATAAGAGAAAGGAAGACTGTGCTAGCACTTTGTGTAGGAGAGAGGGACTTCCAAAAGGAGATATAAGAGATTCCTAAGTTGTAAAACATAGAGCTGAGACTAGAACATATTGTTATGTAAGAATTGGAGTTTCTTTAGGAAAGAACAAAAAATTTGTTACAAATGAGTTTGTAGATGAACATAATCACCCTTTACAAGTTGAGCAGACAACACACATGCTAACTTCACATCATAAGATAACCCTTATCCAAGCATACGGGATTGATATTGTTAAGAGTTTTACTTTGCAACAAAAGTCATCCTATCAACTTGCAACATACTTGTAAGCCATAGAGCTAATGTGGTTACACTAGATTGGACACAAAAAATTACCTCAATGTAAGAAGGCAAAGAAGTATGGTGTATAGAGAAGTTGATTATCTAATGCAATATTTTCAGTGACAATTTTAGACAATTCATCATTCTTTCATATATAGCAGATGGATGCAAATGAGCAAATAACACATGTGTTTTGGATTGATGCAAAGATGTCCTTAGATTACCAATATTTTGGTGAAATTGTTTCCTTGGACATAACGTATTGCATTAATCGTGCAAATAAGCCTCTTACATTATTTTCAGGTTTTAACCATTTTAAGGGTGCAGTTATCTTTGGTGTAGCTTTTTTGTATGATGAAACAACTGAATCTTTTACATGGTTGTTTGATACATTCTTAAAAGCACACAATCAAAAAAATTGTTAACAATATTTACTGACTAAGATCAAATTGTAGAAGTCATGTTTGAAACACATCATGCTTTGTGCACATGACACGATGTAAAATGGAATGAAAAACCTTAAGTAATTTGATGAAATGCAAAAATTATTTTTTAAGAGATTTCAAAAGATGCATGTATGACTTTGACACAGTGAATGAGTTTGAGCAAGCCTGGACAAACATCTTGGAAGAATACAATGTTTTTTAGGATAATTGAATGAAATCAATATATGCAATAAAGAAAACATGAACATCGTGTTATATGAAGGAAATGTTCGCACTTCAGAAGTACTCAACTATGTGAAAGTGTAAATTTTGATTTTATAGCTTATATGAAGTTTGATGTTAGCATAAAACAATTCTTTACATACATTGAACATGTGGTTGAAAACAAAGATTAGAATAAGTTAATTTGTGAGTACGAGTCTTGCCATAAGTAAACAACATTAAGATATGAGATATCTCTTATCCTAATACGAATGGGTAAAATTTACACACATACTATTTTTAACTTATTTTAACAAGAGTTTTCTTCACTTTTGGCCTGTAGTATATCAGAAAGAAATGAATCCTTTGTTTGAATATGTCATTCCTACAATCAGTGGAGACATATCATGGAAAGTATCATTTCATCATGCCTTAAACTCTATATGTTGCAGTTGCAGAAAATTTGAAACATTTGGAATCCTTATTTCCCATGCATTGAAGGTTTTTGAAGCAAACGATATCAAGGTTGTGCTAGAAAAATGCATCATTAAGAGATGGACAAGAAAAGCTTGTTCTGGAATTATGCACAATGTCAAATATAACGTCCTAATTTTATTGATACGATTTATGAAATAATTTTATATTGAAAAGAAGAAATAAAATAATTTACCTATATTCATAAAGCAAAATTAAATAAAATTTTGAACCTTCATCTTGTTACTCGGGCTTACAAAATATTCAAATAGTAAAATAATAAGAAATAAATAAATTTAAACTAAATTAAAATACATGTATATTAGTTTCATTAATATATAAGAGTTCAGTAATTACAAATCATAGTTCTAAAATGCATTAGGACTCGTATATATGATTTACAAAATCAAAATAACTTAGTCCTAATGAGCAATTATCTCCACCCCAAAATACTGAGGACGATCCTAGTCGTCATCCCAATGCCAACCCTCTATCTCAGCTAATTCCTTCAGAGACAGATTCTCGTCCTTGCCAAGATCACCCGTATCGGCCACCACTTCAATACCAGTAACTCGCTCGAAGGTGAACAGAGTGGGTCTTCCTATAAGGTCATGATCGAGAAAGGTGTATAAGTAATTCGCCGCACTTCATGTCTGTACCATTCCTATATATACAAGCTGAATGTGTGCCGAATCCTATTACGAATGGGGTACTCAAAAGGAATACTCTCTAAATACAAAATGTAACCTATTGAACATAAATCCTCCCGCTACCCTAATTTTTCTTTGGGAATGGTCATCTTACTTCCCTGAAAATATTTAGTAATAATGAGTATTTTTTTCTTGTTACTAAACATGATTAATAATAATGTCAAGTCACACATAATGAATGACACACCAAACGTTCAGAAATGGCAATTAAATTTCACATCAATGTCATGTATATTTAATATTCACTAATATCGTAATTTCATTCTATTGTCACTCATAACATTCCTAAATTCCTTATGTCAATCATTCTCTGCCCTTGGGATCCCTTAAGATCTTCCTTAATATAGATAGTTGTTGAATAGTTGCAGCAACACGAATACAACATATGCCGATCCAACCTCTTTTAGTAAAAGCATTGTCAGGGATTTAGGTCAGGAAATAAGTGTGAGGCCTGTGGTGCTTTTACTCTCATTAGTTATGCACAAATTAAAGAAAATCATACACCACCCTCATTTCTTCAAGATTTTCAAAATCGCCTCCATCTTCCACACTTCAGTGTATCTCTGAATTATCCACACTTATTCTTATCAGTTTTCATTTCTCATTATGACTTTGCTCTTTTTCATTTCTCATTTAACATAATCTTGTCACTTTTATGATAGCATAATTTTTCATCCTTTTTCTTTTTCTATTTTATTCAAGTCCACTATTTATATCATATATCAGTCAATCATGCCAAAGATTGGACACCTCTGGACTCAGTTCAAAACGTACATACATATATACTCAACACACATATCATTCAAGTCATTAAGGACAAGGAAACATATTTCATCAACGATTTCATTCAAACATATATTTATAAACAAGAAATGCTCAATAACATTCTCATGGTCAAAACACATCATGTTCTTATTAATGGAATAGAACTCTCCTTACCTCAAATAGATGATTTTATGAAGAGATTAGAGGAAGAGATCGTCGACTAAGGTCTTCCTACATATATTACATAGAAGAGTACTTTTTGAGAAAAGAGAAAATAGAAGAAAATAGAGATGGGATTAATTAGTCAAGCTCCAAGAAACTTACTAAAGATTTAGTAGAAAGAAGGTTCAAGCTCAGATTCGGGACAAGTTTAGAGCTTAGGGGTTTTCTCTGAGAGGAAAGGAAGAGAGAGTTTAGAGAGAAAAATTAGGGAAAGTTTCTTAGATTGTAATGTAAGTTTTCTGAGTTGAAAATCCTTAAATACCCCTCAAATCTTGCATGCTTTTGCTTGAGCGAGGTCATTCTCGCTTGGACGAGCCCTTTCTCGCTAGGGCAAGAAAATCAAACAGAGAGAATTTTTGCAATTTTCTGATATTCTCGTTGGAGCGAGAAGAAGTCCAGAGAGCTACTCAAGTTTTCCTGTAAGGCCGCCTGAGCGAGCTCTATCTCTCGTGGACTAGAGGACAGTTGAGGCAACTTTATCCTATCTCACCTGAGCGAGATTCATCTCGCTTGAGTAAGATTTCCTACAACTCACATCATACAAACTCCTAATTTTAAACAATATTCACAATCACTCAACATAAAATACAATAATTATAAAATTAAAATTAAGGGTGTTACATCAAAGGAATACAGGATTAAGATCAAGGGTTCTTAAACTTGTTATCACAAGACGATATCAACAATTAGCTTCTAAAATGATTAGACTCGCATTTAAAGTATCTAGTTCAGAATAATACTCTCATTTGGTAGATGAATGTGTAAAAGCGGTGTCTCATCAAATCACATAACTTTGATTAAAAGAACAAAATAGTGAGAGTTGCAATAATGACACCCTGCATCAGTCATCATTATCAATAATGGTACACAATCTACCCATGCATGAAAAGGAATAGGTATAGACGATTCAAAAGTTGGGTTGAGCTATAAGGAAAAAGGAAAAAAAAATGATCCAATAAAAGGTCAATCCCAAAGCCATCATTTTGAGGTACATATATTAATGCATTTACTAATAAATAAGTCAATTTCTCCATTCTTATTTATCTTGTGTGCAATAATTTGTAAATATTTAAGGAATATCAACTCACCCGTTTTGAACCTTGTGATGTCCACCATTCAATGTCTTCATCTTATCATTCTCCTCACACTTTCAACAATCGATTCAGATTTACTACATTATTTATACAAAATTCATGAAATATAAAATTAAAAAGTTATTTTTTCTTACTTAATTGTGTAATATTTTATTCAATTATAATTCTTTTTGTAAGAACCTTTGGATAACACAACTCATTCAATCTTTGATCAATCTTGATAAATTTTGTAGCTTTTATACTTTGTTCAATGATTATAGTAATCATGTAAACATTGTAAATGTATTTTCCAAAATCATCTTATGTATATAATATATTGTTTGTATTTACTTATGTTTTGACTTAGATGACCAATTTATGTTTTTTATTCTCAATTTTGCAATTTTTGCTTAAACAACTCAATATTTGCTTAAACAAATAAGATATGTGAAAAATGATACTCGCTATCCAATTTTTGTTTAAGTCATTCATTATTCACTTGAGCAAATCAAATTTTAACTTAAACTATTTAAAGGTCGCTTAAACAAAGTAGGACACACTTTAGCAAATTAATTGTTGCTTAAGCGAGCTGGCATATATATAAATTTGTACTCATTGTTCAATTTTTGCTTATGTTATTTAATAGTCGTTTAGGTGAAGTAGAATTAGTTATCACTTAAGCGAGTTGACATGTCTATAAATTTGTACTTTGTCTTTCTTTCGCTTAACATTATTTAAACTTATTTAAGTGTAAACTTGCTTAAGAAAGTACAAAAAATATCATCCTATATTTGCTTTAAAATTCGCTTAAACTAAAGTATTTTTGTTGCTTAAACCAATCTTATGCACGCTCTAGCTAAAATTGAAAAATTCACTTAAGTGGACTAACTTTTGTTTAAGCCAAAAGAAAGAACTGAACATCCACTTCCTACACAACCGGAGATAATTTGGATCCATTTTCTTTGTTGGGTAAGCCTGCTGGTCTTTACTTAAACAGGTTTGGCTAATTTTCTAATAACCCAATTTCAAAAATAGAGGCAGACCAACCCATTTTTCAACCCTCTTTGCCACCCCCACAGAAAATGATGCAGAAATACGTAAAAAACAATAACAGCAACAGCCTTATGCACCCTGTGGAATCATATAAATAAATCGAGTCATGGCGAAAAATAATCAAAACTGCAGAGTATATTAATATTATATCTTCATTGCCAATGTCTACTTTAAAACACAATTCCAAAGACTAGACAATAGGAATGAACACTAGCAAAACTTCAAATTCCATCTTCATTAAAAGTTCATTGACTAGACCAGGCAAACAACTTTTTCCACTTATAAATTGTTATCAAATAAAACATTCTAAACCTTGTCCAATGTTTGATTGGTGATTGATCCAAAAAGGCTCAGATCTTCTAAACCCTGGCCCTCTTGTTACTGCAACTTGGGCACTTGTATTGCTTGATGTGCTCAGCCTTTGCAGGAGTGATTTTAACACATTTGCCATGGAACCATCTCTCACACATATCACAACAAATCCAGAACTCATCATTGGCATAGTTATCACCGCAAGCCCCACATGTAGCACCTTGTTCATCATCATCTTCTTCCTCTTCTCCACTTTCATCCTCTTCTTTGGGTGGTGCAGACATCTTCATTCCCTTGGTCTGAGACTCAGATTGGCGGGACTGTTAATAGACAGTATCCAAACAGGAGGACCCCAAGTGACTTAAAAATATTGTCAATGATAACAAATATAAACTAGGAACAAGAAATTGAAGACAGTATACCACCTTTCCACTTGATTTGCTTTTGCTGCCATTGTTGGGAGCAGCTAATTGATCCTTCGATAGCTTAGCACTTCCTGTGACAACTTCAAAGATAGTTGGCAGATCATTTATCATCTGAAAAAGTCTTTTCCTGTAAATATCCATTTGAACCAAAATTATAACACTTCCTAAAAATATTCTCATACAAACTTTGAACACAACATTCTCAGGATTTAACCCAGTAATATACTTTTCCTCCAAGGCTCCTTAACAAATATGGCTTTTTCGTTTCTAATTTCTTCTTTCTTCCTCATTTTAGCCAAAAAATCATACCACTTATCACCCCCAATACTTCAGGTATGCTCTTTGATCTGATACATGCTTAATTCCTTTTAGATATTCAAATGGAATCATGACGATTATATTGAGAAAGGGAATCAGTGGAAGACTGGAATTTATCCCAGAATTAGATTGCCTTTAATCTAAACAATTTGGGATAAATATAAATCAGATATAATTGGTACACAATGAAGCTGCAAGCAAGGCAAACAGTTTTTCACTGGGTAATGGAAAGGCCAAACTCTAGCCTAAAAACATAAAAATCAGTTAGCTTCTTGAGAGACTTATTAATGTCAGGCCACAATAAAACATTCAATATTTCATATCAAGATGCTGTTGGCAGAAATGAAGCAAAAGCAGTCAATATACATGTCACTGAGTCACATCCACCAGTTAAGTACAAAAGTTGTTGAGTACAGATTTATTTAAAAAACCTAAAATAGTTCAAGGACCAACAAATAAAATAAAGAAGAAAACTCAAAATCAACGACACACATAAAAGAAAGAAGCTTAGTTTTTCATTTAGTACACATGGTTTCATGAAACATAGCCTTAATAATAGATTACAGATAAAAGAGAATTTAGTAAAGCTGTTGCAAATTTAACAGACTAAAGTTATCATTAATTTTCACTCAAAATTGTGCACTGCTTGAAATAAATGATCTCTTACACCCTAGATGTTCCAAAGAAGTCCAAAACAAGAGGGCCATAGTAAACCCAAATAATTATTTGAATTTTGAAAAATGAAAACAACAGGCAGGAATAAGTTGAGGGGAAAAAATGGTAAGCTTTAAAGAATAGCAAAACAATTTTCTAAGGTTGATAAGAATAAGAAACACAGTGTATTCTTACCTTTCATTCTTACCAAATCCAAATCGGGCACCAAAATAGAAAGCAACTGCAAGCAGCCATGAATCACTGTGAACTGCAACCAGTGATAGCCAGTCTTTCTCTTGCATTCCGTCCCTAGCAAAGTTTATGCCTAATGCTGGCTCAGGAAGTTCAGGAGGCACTTCCTCAACAGGCAAATTCACTTCCCATGTTTCATTTGGAAATCCATACAGACACAAGTTCTCCTTCTCTTCAATGAGAACAGCTTAATATTAACAAATAACACAATTTATATAACACTTGGTCAATATAATCAAACATCAAGTTCTCCACCCCATCTTAACAAACTGAAAGTATGATAAAAAAACAATAGATTTTCGAACCACCAATATAACCTATAGCAAAATCTATTTAGTGTCTGCAATGATTTTAGTGTTTTAGGCTGGAAGCAAAAGTTTCAAAGGTCAAACCAAAACAATAACAGTAATGATGGTAAGATATTAACCACCAAGCATTTATAACTTCTCACAACATATTAACAAATAAACAGATTTTGAATTGTCAAAAAATATTACATTCCTCTTTTAGGGAATGGGTAATTTGGACCATCCAGAATTGCTAATTGAGCTAAAGAAGCATCTAACAGGAATCAACAATTCATGTAACTTCTCTACAACAAAAACCAAGTCTTATCTGTGAGGAATTCATGTAACTTCTCTGTTATAATAAATAAAACTATCAGAACTTCAGAAGAAAATTGACATAACACATCTTTGAAAGGAACCACATTCCAAGTGTTACATTTAGCTTTAATTTGCAAATATATTCACGACTAACAAGAAAAACAGATCTATGTACATAGTGAAACTCCAAAATGTACTTTGTAAAAGAATGCCAGAAAATATTGCGAAAGATACAAAAAGGTACAGGACATGGTACTTTATTAAATCAAAATTAACAAAGCGAAAGAGAAAACAAAAAGCCTCAGATGGATTTGATTTTTTGGCACAGAACACAATACTTTATGAAATCAAAATTTCATTGTTTTCATGATTTAGACAGTAGTTGATATTTTTAAATTAAACCATGGTTGACATAGAACTTAGTAGTTTATTAACGAAAGACAAATTTCACTAAAATTAACTAACCCAAAGATAAAACAACAAGCCTCAAATCGACATTTGATACACAACTATGCTTTTATGTTAAAACAAAATTGTGTCCAAATAAAAGATAATCAAATTCAAAATAGTATAATAGGTATATTAATGATGATTAAATCACATCAAACATACCAAGCTTACCAAATCATTTGTGGAAGAGGAAAAAAATGATAACCAAACAGTTCAAAATCAACCAAAGAATCTCATTCATATTAGAAACAAACTTGCTCTAATTCATTCCTAAAAGCAACTCAAGCAAATAGAATTGTCCAAGTTTGTAAGGAATATTATAGTTACATTCCTAATGCAGGACACCTTCACACACACCCCTCACGCCTAAGACTGAACATCTAGTGAGTGAAGTTTACAAGATTAGATAATCTGTCAATAGTCCAACAATAAGACTGGATTGGCTCCAACATTATATTAGAAAGAGACTGAGTTTAAGTAACTTCTAAAAGCTAGCTTAAAGGTGTAGGATTGCTCAAGCATTAAAAAGAGTATTCTAGCCATATTCTTAACTAATGTGGGGCATCTTAACAATTACAATTGCAAAACTTATGACACTTGCACCCTATTATTATGTAATATCAAATTCATGTGGACAAGGATTCATGGGTGCTCATAAAAAAAAATGCAAAAGTCGTAGATCCCTTTCTTTCGTAGACATGCAATAGCCAAGTGTTTGTAAATAAGCCCGATATGCATACCCAAGTATGTGAAAATAAACTTAACACAACAACCACAAAATCCTTTTTCCACCAGGTGGGATTCGCTATATAGATTTAATGACGTCATAATATTGTATAGTAAATCATGCCTATAAACAAATTATTGACCTCAAAATCCTTCTTAATTGTTGTCCCTTTGATTTTTCTTGTTCACCTTGTGCTTCTAAACTAACTAGGCTAATCTCCATTAGTAAATCATGCCTATAAACAAATTATTGACCTCAAAATCCTTCTTAATTGTCGTCCCTTTGATTTTTCTTGTTCACCTTATGCCTCAACTACTAAGTAGGCTATCCTCCATCTGATCTACTCTTCTAACGAGAGTTTCTACTTCTCCACACATGCCTACCAAACAACCTAAGGCAAAAACGGAGGTTCTAACATCTTTTCTGTGATAGATGCTACCCCAATTTTTCCCTCATGCATTCACTTCAGATCTTATCTTGTCTAGTACGTTCATTCATCTAGTACAACATTCTCATCTCTACTACATTGAGTTATACTCTTGATGACTTTTAAGCAACCAACATTGAATTCCCTACAACATCATACAACACATAGCTGTGTGGTAAATTATTTTTTTAAGCTTGAGTAGTACCTTTTCATCACAAAGAATACTCAAGCACTCATCGATCCGGATCACTTGAATCCTATGGTTTATATATCTCCATTTATCCATAATCATGTATGATGGATCCTAGCTACTTAAACTGCAAGACTTGTTGTAAGGTATGCTTTCCAGGTCTTACACTCTACGTTAGGGTTCTCAAACTCTTATTTTGTTTTATTTCTACCAAAGTGAATGTCATGATCTTCCAAAGCTCGATTGCAAGAAGCAAATATCATGACCCTAGCTCTAGCTTATACTCAATAAGAACATCCAAGATTAAGGTACAGAGATAGAGTCCAAGCTGACTCTTGGTACAACAATCCTATAGTTACAGGAAAATTACTGATGACACCATTTTTTGTTCTGACCATAGTTATCGACCCATACAGATGCTTGATTGCTTGAAATATATGCCTACCATGCTGGGAAAATACTCTCAAAGTGTTCTTGTCAAGAAGAAAACACCAAATCTGCTCCATGCAGCGACAATTCTGAATGGAGACAAAAGCATCGGATGAATGGTGACGGCATTACCCAGTATGCTGGAGAACAACAAACAAAGCTTCCCAAGCAGAACGAAAACTTAACCTAAATTGTGCAGTTAGACGTGTAAAGTTGCAGCAGATAAAAACAGACGGGTCTCAATGCGTAGTTGAAAACACATTTATTACAGAGTATGGTCTGCACTTGTAAGAATAAAAGCATAATAAACAAGGCGTAATCATGATCAAATTCCCATAATAAATACAACAAAAAAGAAACGTATGAAAAAGCTAACCAGGATCGCACTGCTGGTAAAACTTTTCAACGTCTGTAACATCAAAAACAGCAAAACCCAGAAGAACAATTCAGCGCCCAAAATTTGAGAAATTGAATTTTTAATTAAATTGAAAAATAGAAGGAAAAATCGAAGTAGTACCAGTAGTGAGGGCTTTGATCAATCCCGCTCGTCTACCCTTAAAGTCGGTGAAAACCTCCTCAACTGTTCTGGGAATTGGGTGTGGAATGCTTTCCATTGTGATTCTTAGTACCCAACAATTGCAATTAGATACTATCTAACCAATGTACCAAAAAGGTGATTTTATCCACCCAAAAAAAAAAAAAAAAAAAAAGAAGGAAAGAAAGAAACACCCGGTTCGACCACTTTTGACCCAGACGAACAAACTGGATTTAAAGCCTAGGGTTTTGTTTTTAACCAGATTTGGTAACCAATACGGGCTTGTGTTATCCAAAATTGATAAAATGAATAACATAAGAAATAAAAATATCTACACATATAGTTGGACATTTTATGGATGACAAAGCAAAATTAAATATAATGAAATTGATTGAATATTTTCCACAATAATAGTCTAATTATATTTTCTTTTAACTTGGATTATGTTATGAATAATTTTAAATTTTTAAATTTTATTATAATCACTTAGGTATTTTCTTAATATTTTTATCCTAAACTTTTGTTTCTTCTAAAAAATTTTATAAATTAGTGACATTTTCTTGCATTGCATATAAATTTGTAGATAGTAAAATTGTTAAATAAGTAATCAAAATATATTTTATAACTATTTATAAATTTAAAAAATTAAATATTATAATTATTAATAGAAAAACTCATCTTTCATATTAAATAAATTTAAATAAAAAATTAAATTAAAAATATGAAATTTTAATCTTAAATTAATATTGAATTAAAAATGAGTACTTAATAAAGAATATTTAAAATTAAATCAAATCATTTTTAAACAATTAAACTAAAAATATAGTTTTTATATAATAATTTGATTGAAATTCTTGTTCTCATTATTATAAATAAATCCTTTTAATGATATATCATATTTTTATATAAAAATATTTTATCAAATTAAATATATAGTGCATCACCTATACTCATGTCTTTTTAATTGAATATTTTTTATTAAAAAATTTATCATATTTTTATAATTTTACCATCTTAATTAACATTTTTTCCTTTTTTATCTTCTCAAAAAAATTATTTTAATTTTTTACTTTTATTTTATAAAATAAAATTTAAAATAAATTTCATATAAAATAAATTTAAAAATAATTTAATAAAAATAATAATTAAATTTTAAAATATTAGTTTAGTTTTCATTTTTTATTATAATCAAACTGAATTCTATGTAATTTTTATTTTTAGTTTAGAAAATTTATTTCATAAAAATCAAGTTAACCCAAATCATAAAGATACTTCGTTCTAACTCCTAAATGTTCTAGTTTAATAATTAATATTGACATAGAAGTTCATTAAATTCATTAAATTCTTTTTTTAAAAAAATTATCAATTAAAATATCAAATTTCATATATATATATATATATATATATATATATATATATATACTCTTCAAATCTTAATTTGACATATAGTACAATCTTTTATGTTAATCAATTTTTTCTTAAATTTTTAACTTTTAAACCTTGAAATTATTTTATATTTCAATTTATTAGAAATCTCCTTAAATTTATTTAAGAAATGTGAGGATTTTAGGAAAAAAATATTAAGGGGCTAAATTTATATAATTTTAAAAATTAACAACTTAATTAACTTAAAAAAGTGAGAGGCTAAAATTATAAAGAATTTTAAATATAAGGAAAAATAAACTCGAATAAAATTGATTCTAGAAAATAAAAAATAATACAAAATAAGATTTCTTCCTTTCTTATTTATATTCATCTAAATAATATATATTTCTAATATATTTCTTATTTTTTTTTTCTATTTCTTTCTTTAATATTTTATCTCTCAATCAAACATAATGTATATATTATTTGTAAGTCAAACTACCTAGTTTAACTGTTGAATTAGTTGTAGTATTTAATTAAGTTGAGATGGTTGAGGATCTCAAACAGAATATGAGTTAAAGATATGAAGTTGAAGCACTTAGAGTAGTTAGAGTAGGTATTTGGTTCTAAAAAATTTTGTGCTTTGCTCTTGTGATTTTAGGAAACTTTTGACACCACTTTCACATTCATTGCATTTAGTTTGATGATACTTGCTTGGTAAATCTACTATTTATCAATATTGCATGAATTGCATTGCTATTTGTGGTGTATGACTAGGTGTGATCCCTTTGCATATCTTTGATCTTGAGATTGATAAGACATTAAGTAGGAACCTTAGAGCATTCTTGCATTTAGGTAATCCATGCTTTGTAGGTACTGATATTCTTTTGTTCCCTGCATTCACTATTACTTTAGGCTCTATTTTTTATTTTAATTTTGACTTTGTTGATTCTAAGATTATTGTTGACTCTAATTTTATAATAGATACAATATAAGAATATTAAAGGAGCTTGTTGCACTTGATGTTACATATTAGACTTTATTCATTTAGTAGCCTAATGTAGAAGCTCCTATAGTACTCAAAACTAGACTAATTTATTTGTTATCTAAGTTTAATGGTCTTGCAGGAAAGGAGCCCCATAAGCATCTGAAGGCCTTCTATATTGTTTGTTCTACCATTAGGCCCCCTTGAGTTCCTAAGAACATGTCAAACATAAGGCCTTCCCTTTGCTGATTGTACAGTTGAGATTGATTGTACTATTGATAACCAAGGTCCATTACCAATTAAGATAACTTAAAGAGATTATTTTTAGAAAAATTTTCCCTACCTCATGTTACCTCAATTAGAAAAGAAAATTCTAGTATAAGGTAGTTGGTCAAGGAAACACTTTATGAGTGCTAGAAAAGATTCAAGAGATTGGAAACACTTTATGAGTGCTAGAAAAGATTTAAGAGATTGTGTTTAAGCTGTCATAATCACCAAATTAGTGAGCAACTACTTATCCAATATTTTTATACTTTCCCTTCTTATGATTAACCTTTCTGATGTGATAGGTGTTATGGAGAAGAAGCTGTTGGAAAGACAACTACATATCAAGTATAACATCCTAATTTTTATATGCATTTCCTTATTTTTAAAATGGAAGATTTTTATTTAAAAAAAATAGAATATTCCTTTTAGCTCAAGCAAAAATTACTCACTCAAGCAAAAAAAGATCGGATTTTCTCACTTGTACTCTTGCTCAAGCAAGAAATTTGTTGCTCGAGCAAAAATTTGCAACAGAAATAAATAGCTCACTGTTGTGTTTTCGCTCTAGCAAAAATACCCTCGATCGAGCAAAAATATCAACAAAAGAGTAGTAATTTTTGTCTAGTTTTCTTGCTCAAGCGAGAATGGCCCCGCTCAAGTGAGAATGGCCTTGCTCAAGCGAAAATTTGCGAGTTTTAAAGGGTATTTAAGGGATTTTCACTTTAAAACTTGTATTATAAGTCAAGGAACTTCTCACTCACTTCTTTCTCTGTTCTCTCACTTCCTTTCTTAGAGAAACTCCTTTCAAACTAACTTCTAAATTTGAGCTTGAATTTCCTTTCCTCTCAATCTCGAGTAAGTTCTTTAGGGCATAATCTTTCAATCTCATTTCTATATTTCTTTGTTTTCTCTTTTCTCAAAAGTACTCCACTTCATAATGTATAGGAAGAATTTGGTTTTTGAATAACATCTCCTTCGAAATGTTGCACTTCCCTGTGAATTCTAAGGACATTTTGATCTTAGAGACACCATCTCTTATCCCTTTAGTTGTGATAGACCTATTTCTAAGTAAAGGGAATTGATCCCTGATGATTCATATTTTGTAATTACATTTATAGCCTTATTGCATCTTCCAAAATATCTTTCCTTCTTTATTTATTTCATTTAGCATGTTTTTGCAATTCTAGCATTAAATTGGAGTTTTCATGAATACTTGTTATCTTTACTTTATATTTCATATTTTTGCTATACTGACCTTTGTCTATTATTTTGGCCATAACTTTTTCTATAGATCTCCTTTTTGGCTGATTCTTTTTGCAATGGATTACTGACTTCCTTCCTGGGCTTCAATATGGACATATGGATCATGCTGTTTGGAGTTCGAAGCTATTTTTTAAATTAATTTTTGAAGTTCAGACTTAAAATATACCTTTTATATTTAGGTTTTTTATTTTAATTACTTGCTGCAGCCTTAGCCCATTTATTTTCAAGTTGATTTTTGACCTCTTTTTTTTTTCATTTTTGTAAGACTTTTTTCCATTTTTGAGAGAAAACCTTTTTCGTTACCATTATTGCCTCCTTTTAAGATTCTGTAACAAATTTAATTTGTGATTCTATTTCGATTCTCAATTATTCTTTTTAATGGAATTATCTTATCTCAAGCGTGGATTATAAGATCGATTGATCGCTTCGAGTTTGTCTTTTCACTTTCTCTCAACTTTTTATTAAGATTGGTGGATGCATAATTCGATTGAATTTGATTTTTATTCTTGAGTGTAATATTGATAAATTGATTTCTTTTGCATTTGAGATTTAGACAAATTCGGTATAGTAAACCTAATTCGTGACTGTGATTCATGGTTTTAATTGCGTTCATTCATTTTAATCTGCATTTATTTTACTCTCGAATTGCTTTCATTTTCCTTTTCGTTTTCAATTTGTTTTTCTGGGTTTTGTTTCCAATTTGTTTTTTGTTTCATTTTCAATTTATTTTTTGTTTTCTATTCATTTCATTTTCAATTTATTTTTTGTTTTCAATTCATTTTTGTTTTTCTGGGTTAAATTAATTTTTGTTTTCGTTTTAAATTTGTTTTCATTTTCAATTTGCGTTTTCGGTTTCATTTTCATTTTTGTTTTTGCTTTTGTTCTTCCTTCAATTCATTTTCTGAGTTTGAAATTTGTTTTCGTGATTTGGGTTTCATTCATTTTTGTTTTCTAAAGTTCAATTCGTTTTCTAGATTTAATTCCTTTCTGAGTTTACTTCAATTATTTGATTCAATTTCAATTCAATTTGTTTTACTGCTTTTTTTTTTGGGTTTCATTCAATTCTTTGTTGCCAATTTACATTTTTGTTTAAATTCTAAAAAATCGTAAACCCCCGCCAATATAACCATTGTTGCATGTTTAAAATTGAAAATAGAATGAATTTGTGTCCTTGTGAGATGACCTAGGTTTACTTCCTATATTGCATAATTATTTGAGAATCTAGTTTTGTTTGAAACCATTACGACGTGGTTATCAATCTAAACTCTAACTCCTATTTATATGTTTTTAGTTCAAAAGCTCAATTTTTTCCTATTTTAGATAGTAGAGCTCTAATGTTTTCCTAAAACTACATTGTTAAAAATAGGTTTTTGGCATGAAAACCTATGATTTGTTTCCGAAATTAC